ATCAACAAGCCCTGAATTCCAAAGGAGTTTGACTAAAATGGCGCCGTATATAGCACTGTGTTGATACATTGCAAATGAACATCTATGCATGCTAGCCTATATCAAAAATGAACACTGTGCGCGTGTATTGATCGTTTAGTGTCATGGATGAAATCAGGCTGTGTCGCTAAACGTTTGGTGAAAAGCGTATCTCGTAAGCATTAACCGTCAGTAGTTTGCTACATCCAAAGATAAGTAACGGAGAAATAATGATTTCAAACCCAGATAAAATCTGGATATTTCCTGCCTAATATATACTGTTTATGATCATGGAGTTCCAACGAATGCTGACAAGATAGCTTATTGATTCAGCGGGTATTCCCTACTAGTATACTGGAAAATTTACCGGCATATATGTAGCATTGTGCATCCGTTACATATTCAGGACATCTGCTGTTAACTGTGTTTGAGACTATTGAGCGTTCTGCTGTGGATCAAAGCGTCAGCGGTGGACATGAAACCGAGGCGGTCGAAGAATGTCTGGGAAAAGCTAAATTTCATCCGGAACCTAGTTCGCAAGGCGTGAGAATTAAATTTATGACAAAGTAGAAATGAAAATGGCTTAAGTGCGTTCGGACTGCAGCCGTAATCTTTGAGCTATTTGCATACACCGTGCCAACGCTTACCAATTGTGGGTTCGCCTGAGTATTGACGACGTGTAATGTAGACATTTGCTAACTGCGTTACCACCGCTGCTTACAATTGTCGATTCTCTATACATGCAGCTCTGCACCTTATTCCTTTGTTGTCCATCAATTAAATCCTTTCGTGTGTACGGTTTCCTCTTCAGGAAAGTCATTACTCCACCGTACGCTGCAACGGTTATTACTTCCCTGTAAGAAATAACTAAGTAAGCAGTGGCATACTGGCGGGGGGTTGGCGCAAGCTCTCTTCACTTATAATGAATACAACAAAGGGGACACTGTACAAAAACCTCAACATTCTGGAACACGTCAAATGCTAAAATTTGACAAAAGTGCAGCCAACATGCTACTTCAAGGGATATCGCTTTTTGCTGGGGTGTCAGAAAGCTAACACATTAGCAGCTTGATTGAAGCGACATTTGAATTATCCATTAGCAAGCCAGCTGATGTCTTCACGTCTGTTTTTCTAGTAAACGCAGCCAGGTTTAACAGACCGTTTTTGTCTATATGTATCTACCGCGTGTGCAATTGCGGTTCCTGTTTTCAACCAACTAGTCTGTGTTTGTGCACTGTTGTTATTAAGAAGGTCGCGCCATCGGTTATATATCAAATTCAAACATTGGTGGATCAAATCTTTATAGTGCGGCTTTTCCTGACCCAAGCTCAATTAACCAGACAGATGTGGCTTCAGCACGCCAATATTGTTTGTTTTGTCCATGCAAAAGCCGCCTCCATTGCCAAAGCAACCGTACCCCGCCATCTAGCAGCATGACACGCGAAAGAGCATCTGACGCTAAAAAGCGCCCAAACCATGTCACACTAAAACTCATTGATATTGAGACCGGGAAGGCCGACTTAACTACCTGGTATCCATCCCATTTGTCGTTCATCCCGTTCTGACAAACAAAATTAGCTCTGATATCTTGAACTACACATAGATGTGAAAGATGAATATTAATTTGGAAAAAGGTTCTAGTATTCAAATACATATTGTAAAGTCTTGCATTGTGGCTACGTTTATATGTTGACAGAACTTCTGCCGGCAAGATCATGTGCCAAGAAAAATAAACGTAGCCGCAATACAAGGTTTTAACACGGATTTGCATTATACCACCGTCCCAGGTTAAAAATCTATTAAGTTTGTGCCGTTGATGTAAGCTGGATGATCAAATAATATTTCTTCGGGACCCATCGTTGCAATTAATCATCTAAAACATTTGTTACATTTGACTCTCAAGTTTACTCTTTATACGTAAGCACCAGTTTTAGGTACATAATTGTGACTTACAATTCCTAGGGGGTTGCTTAAAACTGTTTACATCTTTTGGGTTTTGGAAACGTTTTCTTACAAGGCGAATGCTTAGATTTGTGCCCATTGCTTTTCCGACTGCCAAGACGAGCAACAAAATTACAGTATCAAGCTTTTGCAGCTACCCTAATTAATTTATAAGTTTAGCCAAGGAAGAGTGTATCACTACCATATTTGACCCTTCTGCTAACAACAAATAGCTTCAGCTGAACATACCTCGCATGCTTAATACGGAAAACCCTAACATTCTTGTTAAGCTGATGTTAGTAAATGTCAATACAAGTAGAAATATCGAGTCAGATCATATGACAATGCGTCGAATCACTGAACGGTTTATGAGGAGTGACGCATTCGGTTAACATTCTATCGTTGTGGGATTCATTCGGCAATTGCCGCAGATCATTTCATCAAAAATATTAACAGTTTATCTACCAGCCTCAACTGTCCTTGTCCAGTACTAGCCAACCTAACTTTTTGACTTATATGGTTTTTAGTCATGACCTTACAATTAGATCTTTCCTACACATCCGAACAAGGGACAGATGATCATTAAATGCTATTTATAATTGTTGGTATCCCCATTCTGTAGACCAAGTAGGAATTTAATACAAGGAAGCTCGGCACCACCACATTACTTGCTAAGCCGTGAACAACGGCGCTGCGGTTAACAAAAAAGGGACAATTAACTACTCTAATGACTTTCATTAAATATCAGTGCTAAAGTATTTGTAACCAAGTTTTATGCACTCTATTTTTCGTCGTAGGTGTAGATTCACAAGTCCAACTAAAATTTTGTTTCTAGTTGGTTCATCGCAAATAGATTCCAAGCCGCGTAGGTAAGCTACCACTCCAACCAACTCGAATCATACCTAAATCCGTTTACTCATTACTGCTTAAAATTTTGCTTGTATGAAGCTATCAAGCACAACACACTGGCTTCTCGTATAGAAGAGGCAGCATCCACCGGTTTGTCCGCATCTATCTGCACATCAGTGTGGCCTCCGTTTAGTTGCCAATAATTTTGCTTCTCTGAAGACTACATAAATATTAAGATGGACGTCTGGAATGCGCTTTCTAATGTCTCGTATCCAGGTGACGCAATGTAAATAACCCAGAAAAGTCTAGATGGATACGCAACAAACTGCGCAAGCCTCAGAAACAAATTATAACTTCTGTTATGCAGGCAGCTATAGCCTCATGACTAGTTTCACCTTCTGTTTCAGGTACACGTGGGATGTTCAAAAAGAAAGCGAACTTTTAAAATAGCGCTCTAATCGGCAGAGGAAATGCGCTGCGGCTACTTAGTGCATGTGGAGGATTGCTTAGACAACAAACTGTCATTTGCCCCATCTGGCTCTTAATGTTGGTTGGGGAGCTACAGTCGCTGAACTGAGCACATTTACAAGCTGTTCATCGGAGAATGAACACAGATAATGGAAGAACTTGAAGAACAAAGCGTGTATGCGAAGTTTGCTACAAACTTAGCAAAACCTTTACAAAGTCATTTCAATTGCTTAGGCAAGCATGCAGTGAGGACTGTTGGAGTTGCGCGCAGTGCTATAAATACTTTGCGTTTTCAACGCGGCAGAATGTTGACCGGTGACGATCCCACCTCACCAGACGATGAACATTTCAAGAGAGTTCGTGCGGTGATCTGTGGAATGTGTCGTTTAACATTTCCAGAAGTTGCTAACGAAGTGGGCATCAGCGTAGGATCATACCGTTGAATTCTAGCACGTTTATGGGCTACTGTGCGAGGGAAAAAGCCTTAACCGTTGAGAAACCAGACTTGGATGTTGCATAACGACAGTGCGCTTGTTCAAACATCGCTCCTTGTCCTCAATCAGCCAGCAAAACACCATACTCCCGTTGTGCGTCAACCACCGTATTCTGCGAATTTAGCCCCTGTAAACATTTTCCTGTTTTCCAAACTTAAAGTTACGTTAAAATGATGTTATTTCTAAATGGTAGCGGAGATTCGGGACAATGTAACAAAAGACCTGCGCACCATCCCAGAAAGTAGGTTCCAAGTGGTCTTCCAAAAATGAAAGCACCGTTAGGAACGGTGTATTGGCAGTAGTCGGTACTACTTTGAAGGGGAAATTGCTTGAAACGTTTGCGGGATGAGCAATAAAGATGTCATAGCAAAATTTCGGCTTCGTTTTGAACACCATCGAATTTTTTTTTTTCATTATCATTGTATCGGCTTACTTGTATGTAAGTTAGCCGCAGCGAAGTGTGAATCAAAAGATTCGGCTAAACCATGCTCTAGTGCAGCTGCTTAACAAATGTACATCACAGAAGCATCCTTGCTTCGGTTTAAGCATATGAGATAACGAAATTTGTTATTAGGAAACATGAATTATGGCGATATCACGAGTTCTCTAGCAGTATACACATATGATGCATTATCGATTGTTCCAAATGTAGCTTGTTAATAAGAAATACAATTCACACGCTGCAGGTTTCAAATCATTTTTGACGGTAATGTTTGAAGCGAGCAACTCCGATATTTTCTACTTCGGGTGCCGTTCCGTTGATCCCAAACGGAATAAAATATCACAACTTACAAACTCGTGGTTTCCTTCAAGACCTGATAATGAAAGGCTTCAATTTATCGTTCTGAAAATTAACCACCAATATTTCTTAAAAGCCTTTACGTTTGTAACTAGTTATTCTACTATATATCGCGAATAAATAAACACTAGTCAAATATGGGCTACTTTCTTATTAGAATAATTAAAACAAAACATTATGAATATATTGTTTTTAACAATAATGTTTTGCGGTTAATTATTTTGAGCTCGCGAGAAATCACATCTTTATATTTACTGTATGATTTTTGACCCACCTAACTCCGTGCTTTTCAATAGTAAATCAGACCACCAATCACTTAACAGTAAATAATTAGGCTATGAACAAAATGACGCAATGTTTTCTCATACTGAAATTTGACGTGATATGCATACATTAAAGCATCCACGTTGCCCCCTTTGCCGTCTTTGTAGATTCCGCGGGCGAGAAGTACAGTGATCTGGATCTAATTTTTCACGTAGATCTTTCCAATCCGGCTACCTTCGTAAAAGTAAAATCTGTCGTCTTTTCTACTGTCGCACATTTTCTAGCCGAGGCTTTTGCTTCCAGTTTCACGGAGTGCAACTGCGGTTCACTAGTGTTTTATAAGCGATTGTTTACCCCAACGTGCATTCCTATTGGCTTACAACACAACAGTACCCGGGTTTCCTCCACACCTGAACCCGATTTGGGACGTGCAGCGGATCCTTGTGAAAGCCAAACTTCCAAAGGCAATGTATCAGCCAAGTCCCGGCATAACTGTCTTTCATCAAATCGGAACTCAAATACAGGTCTTCGATTCCAATCCCAACCAAACCCGGACTGCGCTTATCGGCATTCCACCTGTTGTTTTCCCTGGTATACCGCGCTGCAGGATGAATCCTGGCTGGTTAAATTCTATGTCCAAAAGATGCTGCGTATCCACAAGCCTAGTTTGAAAACTGCTGATTCTTGGTCGCTCTTCACTTTAGGCTACCGAACATCGAGTGGGGCTAAAACATTAGATATCAAATTTGTAGATCGAATGCAGCGTCAGTTTGAGTTCACAGTGGATAGCTTTCAAATTGTTCTAGACAGCTTGTTAACCTTCTACGAGACATCACGACACGAAATGAATGAGAACTTTTATCCCACAGTTGTGGCCGAGTCCGTTTCGGGCAGTTTCACAGAAGCATTGAGCCACCTGCAGGAACGCCTGATTGTGACTCCAAGACCAGAGGAAATCCGTGGTGGCGGACTACTCAAATACTGTAAATTACTTGCTGACGGATATCGACCCACAAAGGGCACCGATGTGCTGTCCATGGAACGATATATGTGTTCTCGTTTCTTCATTGATTTTCCCGATATTGTCAGTCAGCACCATCGCTTAAACTACTATCTTACTAACCATTTTGAGGATGACAATGAACTGAAGGCTGCTTACCTACAAGTGAGTTTTCAATGTTATATCTTACCGTTTGTTATCTATGGTACATACATGGATACCGAAAGGTATACGCCATTTCAGTTGCATTTCTGTTTACAGATTTAGCCTGGCGAGTTGCCTCTTAGTAACCAGCGTATGGTCAGAGAACTATGTAATAGAAATGTCGAGTCAAAACTACGTTTAGGCGTCAAATGCGGTCCGAGTTAGCAGTTAGTAACAATGAAAATTAGCCAACCCATTTCCTGTTCCGTGGAACGCGAACAACAATTGTTTACTTGCAATGGCATTTTTAATCTTTCTTGTGCAGGATACAATTACTGGCTTCCCATTCACCGATTCCATCAAGGTTTGATGCCAGTAATTTTAATGCGATCCGCTTGCTGCGTTGAGATAAATGGTGACTACACTACTTTACTATTTATGAGTGTCGTACGTCTAAATATTGTTCAAGTTAAATTTTTGTAGAACACACCTTAAATGTTCTAAGAAATATTTGTTGTAGATTGGTTTCTGAAAATCAAGGTGCACAACTAATTTTGATCGGCTACCACCCACTGCTAATGATATTACGACATTTAATGTTTATATTCTGGAACCAAGATACTAACATCAAATGTTACACTGGTTCTCAAAATTTCCTTTAAATCATCTGGTTTCATGTCTGCGCAGCAAGTAATGAAAGGACGGTTACCTCTCATTTGTTTACTGATGTACCCGTCTTCGAAACCCAGTTGTTTAAAGTTTTTGCAAGTTTTTTTTAAATTTTGCATTGTACTTGTTTTAATTTCTACAAAATAATTCACTTGGGTAGCAAAATCCATCTATGTCACCCAGCAAACAACGATGCATCACACCGTTTGCTTTAAGCAACGCATTATAGGTCATCATCTTACTTGGTGTAAGATCACCAAATGGATTGAATTTCTTAAGAGATTTTAAAAATCATTCATCAAGTTTAACATCCAAACGTGCTTTCCAGAAGTTATTGAAGACTGTCACACGTAACATGAACGTGAACGGAGTAAGGAAATTGCCTTTTACGTTATAGCTCTCCCGATGCCAAACCGTAGTGAAAGCAAAACGTACACTGTATCCTTAGTGGCCATCCAAAGTGACATCCGGGGAAAAAGCTCACCCTTCAGGGACTCCTCTTCCCAACGTCAGTATTTTTCACAGAACAGAAAACAGGTTCCCTGCTCATCAGCACAACTAAATTAAGCGAGATAATCCAAGTGACTTGTTATTTCAAACTAAGGATACTAACACGGGTGTGTCCAATCTTGTTTCACGGAGGGTCTCATTTTGTAAGGTAAAAGGATCTCGGGCCATATTCCGTCTGAATGTAAGGTAATAATAAAAATTACGAATATACGAAACAAATCTAAGCCTGCATTTATTATTTCATGAGGACACCGCGGGCCAGTTAAAATGTTGACGCGGGCCGCATTTGGCTCTCAAGGCTGGACTTTGGACACCGCTAATCAAATAAGTAAATTTGCTTCCTTTAGCTGCCTCTGACATGTTAGCTTCAAGGCTGGGTGTCAGGAAATGTGCCGTCCCTTCAAATATGAGACTTGTGAACATTTATTATATTGGTGCATGGCACATTTTCCCACATTCGATCTTGTATCAAAGAAACCTATATCTATAAAGCTGCCTTTTAATGATGAGGGTGATTCAGATTATTGCCATCATGGTGGGGGCATTATACAATGGAATCGTATACCTAGACAGATGTTTGGAAATTTACTACACCCTGAATGAAGCCGGAATGATTAGTTCTTAGCTTATGAGACATAGCATGAGAGTTGGTTCTAGAACTATATTTTATAGAATGCCTTGATAAAAATGAATCCGGCTTTATATATATATATATACATATATATAATGATATATATATATTCCACACAAATAATAAAGACGTACATTTGACAGCAGCGTTAACTGCTATCTGTAGGCTGCATGCCAGCTAGTTCAACTTGCTGCACGTTAATTCTTAAATAGGCGTCCGTGTTAAATAATTGGAGAATTAGTATGTTTAATAAGTTCGAAATGTTTGAGAGTATTTGCAGCTTAAGCTGTGCCTATGAGTTTTGCACCGTTTTCCGAGCTGAATGATTATTTTGCTGTTATTTCGTTACCAGACTAAGGAAGATGGTAAGCAGGTTTACCTGAGACCGTTTCGCAGATGCTAGTAAGCGACTTCGAGATCTAAGTGCTTTAAATACCACGCTTTATTCAACCCAATGGCATTTTTAAAGTTTTACAGGTGTTTTAGTTCCATTTGGTGTTTTAAAGTTTATATGTTCATGAACATTAATTCCTTTTGATCATGACGGAGAGTGGCTAGGCCGTGTTCATGCCGCTGGGTGTCACACATTCCTCTTGCTTGTCCTATGTATTGGCTGCCACAATTTCGACAACTGCCCATGTAGACTACTCCAGCTGTTTCCCAACTTTATAATTTTGTCTTTCATGTTCAAAAGATTACCTTTACTCATCTCTGTCGTTTAGTGGACAATCTTGACCTCCAATGCCAACAAACGTTTCCCTACCACTACAGAAATTCAATTGATGTTATGTAACGTGACTTGTTTTCCAACTGTTGCAGTTAATATGGTATCTTATAATTGTCTGAAGATTTCCAATGTAGTTGAAGATCTGGTCCGTTTGTGTTGATGTTTCATAGTGGTCTAGAACCACTCCTATATATAGAGTGTCTAAAATCGCCAAATACCCATTTCTGCGCTTTTTCTGGACTTGAATACCCCCATGTCGCATAAGAATAGGCAGTGTTAATTCACTATATTAGGATTTAAAACAATTAGTTCCCTTCAGAAATATGAAAAGCACGGTAAGTAGACGAAAACTGGTAGATGCAAGCATTTCGTATTGTCTCCTCAATACGAAATGTATACATCTGCCAGTTTTCGTCTTCTTACCGTGCTTTTCAAGTTGCTGAAGGGAACTAACCATTTTAAATTTCTCGAATGACGAATTCCCGCTGAAACTATCAAATTACTTCATCGTATAGTCAGCCTGAGGTGCAAGACCGTGTGCGCACGTGTGGAAATATCCTTCCTTAGGAATTGTATTCTCCTGCGTAGATACCCCCGCTCGGTTCTCACACTGCTGCGGAGAAATAAACTCAAATCATCTGTGGCTAACCTCAAACGTGTGGCATCCGCTCACTTGGAGACGGCCGAGTCCAAACTACGGAATGTACTGGAAACTCACTCACGCTTACTACATGTAGTAGAGGATCTATCTTCGTGTTGTCGTGTCGTGTTCGCTAACTTTTGCAAATCCACTTTCGACCGTAAAAGGCGAAATCGGAATACTCGGTTGGAGAACTCGCTTACGAAAAGCCAGGATAGGGAACCAATCGTTGGTGATCCTAGTAAGTACGTGGTGAATTTATCAGACGTACAACTATTCGCTTTTCAGTTAGAAGCTTTGTCATATGGGCTTGATTACAAAATTCCTCCTAGAAGACTGAACGGGTTGTTTGTAGAAGCTCAGTTTAAGAACTTTTTTCGATTAATTTGAGGAGCTTCAACAATCCAGTCCTGTGAGCTTGGTTTGGTTTAGAAATAAATTGACCGACATTGCCCACGAAGTTAAGACTGTGCCAGTGAATGAAAAGTGCGCACTTACAGGCCGACACCTTCAGGTGCTGCGTGAACTGCTTACTATGAACGTAGTTGTGATGAAACCGGATAAAGGCTATGGAGTGGTTGGTATGAACAAGGCCGAGTACGCTCAGAAAATGAGCAGCATACTCAACGACAAGAGCAAATTTCAAAGACTTAATAAGATGGAGAAGGTATCCGAAGTTGAAACTAGCATAGTTGCCCATCTTGGAATGCTTCTTCTTCATGGCGTGATTGATAGCGACAAGTATAATTGTTTGAAGCCAAGTGAAAGCACTACTCCGCATCTATACGGGTCACCAAAGATGCACAAGTGTGGAGTACCACGTAGGCCGACTTTATCAATTGCAAATGCGCCGCAGCATAAATTGGCTCGCTGACTAGTGAAGATACTTTCGCCTGTGCGACAACTATCTAATCCATATGGTCTTAAAGATTCTTTTCAACTTATAGGTGACTTAGATGACATCAACCTCTCCGATAAGATCATGTGTTCCTTGGATGTGGAATCTCTATTCACCAACGTCCCGCTACAACAAACGGTGGATTACATATGTGAGCTAGCTGAGCACTCTAGTTATGCTTTACCAATTCCGGTCGAATTTCTAAAGCATTCCTTACTTCTGTGTATAAAAGGTGCTGGCTTCCACTTTCAGAACACCCCATATCGTCAAATCGGTGGTGTGGCAATGGGTAGCCCACTAGACCCTGTACTTGCCGATTTCTTCATGCTGATGATAGAAAGAGGCATATCCGCAGAAATAGCCCAGTTACCATACTACAAACGATATGTGGATGATATATTAGCCTTTTGTTCATCAGAGTAGCAGATTGTCCAGTTGATGCAGCAAATCAACTGCGCACATACCAACTTGCGGTTCACCTGCGAAGTGGAACAGAAGAACTGTCTGACATTCTTAGGCATCCTCCTCAGTCTCAGGAATGACGGGCTCATTAAGGTCTATCTACAGGAAAGCAACCTGGTCCGGCTAATACCTGCACTTCACCAGCTTCACACCAGTGCGGTGCAAGCGGACCCTTGTGAAAACTTTAGTTAGTCGTGCTCGGCTGATTGTCTAGCCGACGAGATAGAGTTACTTACATCAACACTCGTTGCAAATGGTTATCCACGTAGATTTATAAAAACACAGCCAACAGCGAAACCCCAAAGACTTCTTGCGTACGGCAGTTAAGAAAAAGATCTATATAGTTGGCTTTCAAGGGTGACTTCACTGTATTAAAAACCATGCAAAGTTTAATCTCTGCTACGCAGAGAAGTTACTGTGCTGCTCAGGCTGTGGTCATCAATAGAACCTGTAACTTGCCGATGCCTCCAAAGAAAGCAACTCAACCGATAGGGGCCAACTCACACTGCATATACAAATTCGTGCGCGACTGCGGAGACAGTTACATAGGCAGAACCAATCGGTCTTTGACTTCCCGAATAAAGGAACACGTGCCAAGGTGGGTTCAACGTGAAATTTACCAGCATCCCTGTCCTACTGAAGTTCCGTGCTTGCTCAAGCCGCCAGCTTCCTCAATGGGTACTGACTACGCGTCACCGGATAGAGCTCAGATCATCGTTCACACTTGTCTTACGTCACCCTAATCCCCGCTCCCTCCGTTTCGCCGAGGCCCTTGCCATAAGTCGGATGAAACCGTCCCTGTGTGTTCAAAAGCAATTATTTATCAGCTTAAG